AAAATATTGTTTAATCAAAAGAATCACTTTGGGATGTCCGATAGAGTGGTTCAAATGTTGTCTTATTTACATTAGATGTCACTCATAGAATCACTAAACAGATCCCTACTCCTTTTAAGAAAGGGGACTTAAAGCAAAACCTAGAGTCGGATTAGGAGAAGAAGGATGTCATTAACATATATTCTAGACTGAAGTCCCAACGATCCATTCCTCCTTAGATGTCGACCACCCCTTGTAAGCCCCTGTCAACCAAAGTTGGCTACTCCCTGTTCGTTGACATTGATAGATCTACAGAGTGACACCCACTTTGCGACGAAGTCCCGACAGAGAAACGACATATAAAGCAGTGCAATATCATGAATAACATACAATGACATATTTCGAAGATGGTGTAAAAAAAAAGTTATGGTGATAACTCCCAGGAGGAACCACTCCGACTATTGTACTACAAACTCTTATGCATATGCACAATGTACTCTAAGGGATTTTGTGTCCCCTTTTGCGAATGTGGAACCATGATGTATACTTGTAGACTAAACTTATAGTATTCAGGCTGGGCCAAAACTATAGTTTATATATATATATATATATCCCCATAATTTATGTTGCTAATGGTGTAGGAATTGTTTTTAAAATTAAATTATGGATAGAAAAATATGTATTATATAAATGTTAATAATTTTGAAATATATTTAGACAATAATTTACATAAAAAATATCCAGATGTAATTTTCTTGATGGAATTTGTAGAAGTAAGTGGCTGGAGAAAGTCAAGAAGGTACAATAAAGTCCAAGATAGAGATGCGAGAAAACACACGATAAGAGGTATTCATCACTCATCCAGGAGGAGGCGAAATTGAATTAATATGCAGAAAAAGAGGGAAAATACAGCGAAGCAATATGTTCCTTTGCACACTGAACTCCTCCATTGGACCACGAACTGTCTCCCTGCTCTCCATCGTGGCTTCACATTTAAGCAAAATTTCATGGCTCCTTCCCACCATCTAGCCCTCTTCTTTTGTTTCTTCCCGTTTTCATTTCTTCCGTGCTCGTCCCAGTAATGATTTCGGCGCTACTATCGTTTCTGTTGGCAAATCCAAGGGAGTGGAGAACAGAGAGATAGCCCAGCGCATATGAAAGCCGTTCTATTATATTGAGACATTCCCCTTTCTCTTTCTCTGGTCTTCTTCAAGTTTCTTCTCCGGTCGTCGTCGATCATGGCGGCACCTACCCGGTCATTCCTTATGGGCAGCGGCGGAGGCAACTCCGGCGCGCCTTACCCTCCGGCAGACACGACCTTCACGAAGATCTTCGTCGGAGGCCTCGCTTGGGAGACTCAAAGGGAGACCTTGCGCCGCTACTTCGAACAATTTGGAGAGATTCTGGAGGCCGTCGTCATCACTGATAAACACACTGAACGTTCAAAAGGCTATGGCTTTGTATTCCCCAACACTCCAAGATGGGAACTTGAAGCTTCCGCATCACTCTGTATTCATTCCTGATCGACTCCTCTTTCTCTCTCAGGTAACGTTTAAGGATCCGAATGCGGCGTTTCTTGCTTGTCTGGATCCGTCGCCGGTGATCGACGGGAGACGAGCAAACTGCAACCTTGCTTTTCTCGGCGCATCTCACCGGCCTCGGCAAGCGACAAATCAATTTGGTGAGTCTCTGGTAACCATTGAATGCTTCTACCGAAACTAACTTTTCCTTGCAAAATTTATTGTTCTTCTTTTGTGTCAGCAGTAACAGGCCGGTTTTGGCCTCCGGGAGGTCAGGCCATGGCTTCCTCTGCATTTCGTGGATCTTCTCTTGCGTCCCTCCCCACCGGCGCCCCTTACTTTCATCAACCATCTCACTATGGCTTCCCCTATTCGCTCTACGGGTAATCAAACTAAAATAATTCCCTGCTTTTCTTCCCCCTTCTCCGGATCAAGCATTCAAAAGCCATGAAAAATCTCTTCTTGTTCTTCAGTTACACCGGCGCATACTCGCAAGACAGCGTCTACCCCATGGTGAGTTTTTAAATGAAAATAAGCAGTTGGAGGTGAAAATCAATGACCAAATAAACTCAAACTATTGTTGCAGAGCTATTACGGATTTACAGGAGGTCAGAACCCCTTCTCTCCTTATTATCAGGCGACGTCGCCGGGTGTTTTTCCGGCAAGCTTCTATCCTTACTACACTCAGTATTCTCACTCAAATCAGACGCAAGGGAGTTTTGCGCTGCATTATCCGCAGATGCTTCAATACCCTTACATTCCTCCTGAACTCGGCTCTGTTTCTGCTATTCTTTCCTTGCCGACAACCATTGCTTCCACAAGCGCAGGTGAAGTCTTCTCCTCTACTCTGATCAGCTTTCAACTCAAGAACTGGAGCTAAATTTCTTGATAATCCAGTAGGTGTGGCATCCAGTTCCTCCCGGCCACCAGGAAACACCCAGGAGCCGAGGCCATCAGCCTGATTAGACAGATGGGTACTTTCTGTGCCTTTCCTCCTTCCGTTTACTAACAGTGATGAAATAAAAATAAAATATTTCTATGCTTATATCTGAAGGTGAAGAAAGTATCAGGCTTTCCTTGTCCTCCTTCTCCTTCTCCTTCTCCTCTCTATTGATTAAAGCTATTGATTAAAGAGAAGACAACTAACCCATAACCATTAATCCATTGAACAAGCATGATTTGATTTGCTTGCTTGCTTTATTCACTAATGACATTTATGCTCCTCATCATCCTTCCACCACCTCCTCCATTTCCATTCATTCTTGCATTGGTTATTGATCCATCTCTGCTCATTTGGATTTACTTCGGCTCGCTAAATTTGAAATTTTTAACCTTATTGGATCAATATGGTAAGTTTCTATTAGATTTGTTCTTGCTTTCGGGGTGCATGCATGACACCCAACAATGAGCTCCATTGGGTCTCAATGGCGTTCATGCTCGGCGAAAAAGACGGTTTTTTGTCTAACACCGCCGATTACGAAGACGCCAACTGCCGCAGCAGCTGAAGGATATGGTTTTCTCCTGATGTAATAATAATTCATCTTCCCATTATCCTTTTTTTTTTACTTAGAATATTAATAAAACATTTAATGCAGGATAATTAATTACTTTGAAACATCAATGTCTGTCTTCCTCTCTCTCTTTTTATTGTATTATTTTTGTTCTTTTGGCTTTGTGCTGTATGGAATCCGAAGGAGGAGGCAGAGAGCCTTTGGTCTGAAGGAATGGAGGGGGAGAATGGTGAAGAAGAATCCAAAGATGTGTTTTTTAAGCTTTTGTGGTTTCAGGTCTAATGTGGTGTAGGTGTAAGAGGAGTTGGATTTTCCTTATTTGGAGGAGAGAAATCTGATGGGGGGAGGAGGGTTAGGGTGTCATGTGAGGGTAACGTGGGTGGGAGTGATGGCTGTTGACCGTCCGTTTGACCGGAGATTTTGGGCTCAATTGAGGCTGATAAAGAGAAGAAATATTATGATTTATAAATTCTTTTTTTTGAAGGGAATAGGAATATGGGTGTAATTGAGCCAAGCTGGTTCAGGAGCGAGCTGAGTCGGGCGTAACTCATTCGATAAGTGGATTGCGGGCTGACCTTATGTTAACAAGCCAAGTTTAACAGAACCCGAAGGGACTATATTAAAATTCATAATTATATATTTAAATTATTAAAAATATTTAAAAAATAACCTTTTTACCGTTTATCTAGTGATTTTTATATTTATCTTTAATTAATTATTTTATTTATCATTTTATTATAACACTAGTTTTAATTAATATTATGCTCTTTCATAATAAAGAAGCCGACCCGTAAGCTTGATCAATACTGGAGCTTGAACTCGATTAATTAATTAAACTCAAGCTCAAGTCGAGAGTAGCTTGAGCTTGAATTGACTCGAGAAGTTTACCCTTTCTTAATAGAAATATACAATTAAATACTCTATTTTATTAGGCAACCATATAATGTCATGCCCTCACAATGTATTTAAAGTAATTAATGTACATAAAGAGTGTATGGCAATGTACTATTATCTACACATAGAACCATGAATATGGCCTGCATCAATTAATTTCTCCATGAATATGCCTTATTAATTGGGATAAAACTTATGCTTTTTCCATCACCTCATAATCAAACCTATTACTCTGTTCATTTTCAGAAAAAGGTTTACTCCAAATTTTCCTACTAATTGAGGTTTCATGCTATGGAAATAATTTAGGTGAGGATGTTTAATTTAAATTTAATCATTATTAGTGTTTTAATCATTTTATTTATTTTGATATAAGGATAATATATAGTTAATCCATCAATGTTTATACTACTTTTATCTTAAAACTAATGTAATCTAAACAGTTCTAAAATAAGATACCCCATTTTCTTACTGATCATGCTTATCTTACCTTTTGACATTGAAAAAGAAAGGAAGATTTGCAGATATACCAGTCAATTCCTATGTGTTTATATGTCTTACACCTAAACTTCAATTTTTTCCAACATTCTACCTTACATGTACTTGAAAGGTGTATTTCACTTTTTAGAAGTTAAAATGATGAAGTTTTTGATGTGATATGAATTATTTTGGCTGGTATAAATGCAAAAACTAAAATTTAGGCGTTAGATATATAAATACAAATAAATTGTCGTGCTATGTAAATGCCCCAAAAAGGCAAATTAAGCATAAGTTCATGGAAGGTATGATAAGCACAAATCAATTATTCAATAATAAATGGGAGAATCAGCTTCAATGTATTTTTTGATCTGTTCACAGTCTAATAAGTAGGAGGAGAGCTCCCATGAGAATATTGAGATATGTATTTTTTGGTTTTGCAAAGGATCAAACTTCAAACAAATACATTGAGGCTAAACTCTTAAGACAATAACAACCTTCTTAGTTTAGTAATTTGAGTGAATCTCCCACCTTAATCATTTATATTCTGGAGCTCTCCTATGATCTTTGACTCTCTTTAGAAGTTGCTCCAAGTAAACATAATCATGAGGCTTGCGATACATAAATCAAATAATATCTTAATAGGTGAGAGCTTATGATGTCGCAAATGGCATGAAGACATTATTATACCATATATATGGAAGAAAATCATTTTGTTGGATTAAGATCTACTTCATAAGAGTTGCATCATGAACTCATTTGAGATAGTGCTGCAACATGGGAGCCACCTCACTAAGAGTCTACTCATAAAATGCAATTTATCAGCTGAATAATTTGAGGCTAATTTTAAAGATATTAACAAAGATTTCAATTTTTTTTGCTCAAAGATATTATAAAATCGCATATTAAAATGAGTTTAATTTCTTAAAAAACTAAAAAGTAATTACTTTTTCGTGTTCTTTTGAGTTGTGTTTGCAAATTTAAAATTAAGTATTGTTATAGTAGAACACAAAGAAGACGGGGGTGAAAAAAAAAAGAACCCCTTTAACAATTTTTGAGTCATTGAAGAGGAAGTTCATATCCTGTTCCCAAAATATTTTTATGTTGATTGATTTTTATAAAATGATAATATTTTGGTCATTTCAAAATAATAATCATATAATTTAATGAGATGGCACGTGTGCCCACTAAAAAAGAATCACAAATAACTAAATAATTTTCAACTTGTACAACTTTAAGTAAGCTTTTGTTCGTGTTCGATTCGTTCGATAAGTAAAAGAGACGAACGTGAAATTTTTTTTTTTGTTCAGTTAGTTAAACGAACGAAACACGAACAGCGATGCGTTCGTTCGTGTTCGAA